GATACTGGCAATGACAATAACTAACTGCCTTTAAAAACCTTTAATAGGCATACAGCATAACTAAAGAAGGAAAAACCAGAGTCAGCTGTGAAACAGAAGCAAGGACCAGTGCTGGGATTGCTCAGCTACGGAGCAGGGCTGGTATGCAAAGACAGGGGGAGAAAGAAACATGGCATGGCGCCTCACCCATGATATGGTACACCCAGGTATCAGGAATATGGTCCTGCACGCACAGAATTGTCGTCGCTACCTGATAGATGGAAAGCAGAAGGCTGGGAAGAGAAGTTTGCTGTTGGGTTGGGCAGCCAGCAGCTTAGTTACATACAGCCAATTCGCGGGAGACAAAAACCGCAGCCTCACTTTTTGCGGGCCAGCGCTACCCACCCACCCCCCGCCTAACTTCCCATTCCCTACGTCCCACATCAAAAGGGGGAAATTAAAATAAAAATGATCAATATAAATCCAAAATGGCCAATGTTGCGCCGTCCACCTCCTTCGCGACAAAATTGTTAAACTAAAACCTGTGGTTGTATGTATCATTGTCCCAACCGCCCGCTCACTAGCTATGGAGATACCCACTGTCCAAGTCTCCATACTTTGGGTGCCCATGCATCCAGCGCTGGGAGTAAAACCAACTGCCTGTATCCCTGCTACCGACAAAACACAGTAATCATTCTCATTCTTATCCATAATGGCTAATGTAAAACACATTTCACCTGCGGGTGGGTGGGCATGGGGGCAAGCTTGCTTGCTACGTACAAGCCCTCCCTCCTCAAAGTTTTATTCTCGCTTTTGCATGAACAAGTTCTGGCTCTTGTACTTGTAGGGAAGGACACGGATATTATATATATTCTTTTCCATTTTAAATAAAAGTTAAAAAATTGTGCCCGGCTTCAAATAATTGTAAGAAGTAAGAAAGATGAAGTATTTTGTTTTCTGCCACATATGTATTCTGGTACATCGTGTCGTCGTCGTCAATGTCATCCTCCATCATCCTTCCTGGGCAAGGTAGGTATCTATACATAGGCACCTGGCTAAGCCAATAATAACAATCGAAGGCAAATGCCAGCAGCAATCCGCGGGGTCGCCCCAGGCCAATGGAGGCAGGTTGAAGTACCTGACAAATTTCCACATTTCGAATAGGTAAAGTAAAGTAGTTAGTTAGTTAAAACTAAGAGGGTTAGGTAAGCAAGTTATGAGAAAAAGTGTTGGTTCATTTAACAAGGCCAAAAAAGAAATGAAATGAAATGCAGAATTTTTCGCCCGCTGAGCCATCTTGATTATGTGGAGTACAGTGAAAATATGGGTTGATATGAGTGGGTGTGAGCGAGCGGGAAACCTGGACGATTGAATTTTGCATCCTCATGAGAGAAGGAAAGAAAAGCGAGGGGGGAAGTAATTATGAAAAAATATGAAGAAAACAGTGAAAAAGAGAGAAAAAGAAAAGAAGAAAAGAAAAAAGAAGTCCTGAAACTCCACCCGCCCACCCGCGCGTTGAGGCTGTTGAACCGCCCCTGTTTTAGTTGTAAAAACAGAATCGACATAAGCTCTCAATGCAGCATGCAAAATAACATAAATGCATGCTGTGTGTGTGTATGTATGTATATATAGAGAAAGTTTTATTAAACAGTAGAAAAAAAGTAAAAAAAAAACAAAAAAGCAAAAAAAAAAAAAAAAATTGCCCTGTTTGAGACATCCCCTTTGGCGTATCCGTTTCGCAAGCAAATGTTTTGTTGTGAATATGATGCGATGCGATGCGACGGGACGTGTTTGCCGATGCGGTACGGGGGAGGACGAGAAGAGGATGAGGAATGGGGATTAGGTAGAAGAGGGAGAGGAAAGCAAGTTGCTTTGTTTTGTATTTGTCTTTTTCTCCCTTTTCCTCCTTCAAGCAGTCTCCGCGAGGAACAAGCGTGGATGTTGTGATCGTGGCTGGCCTCTCATTTCGACTGTGGGAGCTGCTTTTTTGAGTTTATGTTGATGTGGATGTTTTTTGGGTATTTTTAAGTTCCATTTTTCTTTAGAGGTCCAGTGGGTGAGTTGCCATAGTAGCAACGGCTCCCCTTTCGCCGCTTCGAATGCCTTTGTGTGTGAAAGGGAGTTGCCGCAGGACGAAAAACAGGACGGTCATCGAACCCGCCGGAGTAGATAATATTGGAGAGGGAAAAAAAAAATTTTTTTCTTAAAGAAAATCCTTCAAAACCTTCTTTACCTCATATAAACCAACCCAGTTTTCGCAAAATGGCCCCCGAAGGTTGTTTTGGGTTGCGCAGGCTATACACTCCACTCCATGGAAAGAAGTATATAGCCAGCCCACCCCCAAAAAAAGATTTTCCACAGGGGCCACTCCCATTTCTGGTCGGTTAGACGATATCCCAGACATCCTCCGCGGCATGACAGAACTTGCTACACGCCACGCTGGCACTAAGGCTATAATTGCTGATACTAATCGTATCATCCTTGAAGCCATCAGCAAAGTCATCACGGCCCTTGGCCATCGCGCCCACGAAGACGCAAATGCTCTCCTTAGGCCCCAATGACTCGATATAATCATTCACGCGGACGACGGGCGCATCAAAGCTCAGCGTCACCTTGCGACAGTTTGGCGGAAGATGGTCCGTGATGGGATTCTTGATCACCTTCAGCAGCTTTTCTTGTGAATTGGTGGAGCGGATGGAGAGGCGGTGCAGCAGCTGGACCATCAATCCAGCAAACCGCTTGAAGGTTCGTGGGATGCGCACGGTTGGGCTGACTTCGATGAGGACACCCTTTGCGGTGTGGATGTAGATTTGCAGCTTTCCTGCTTTGTTGATGGGGGAGTCAAGGAGAGTGAGGAGACACTATGATTTGCATAAATACGATTGATTAAGCCCGGGTAGATTGGTTGATTACGTTTTAAAAAAAAAAAAAGCAATGGAGGAGGGTAAAAGGAGGGGAGGGTCTGTATGATTTGCAACCGAGGACGGAAGGGGTATATCCAAACCTGATGAGTGATATCCGGGCGAGCATCGCTGATATCCCGATTCATCTTGCGCATGACGCCAATGTGCTCATCGCTGTTGAGCAGCGAGTATTTATCCTCCCTTCCATTGGCGTTTCTGCCGCTTGGCGAGGCGCGGTATGTTTCCAGACTCGCGTTGGAAAGGACTACGATCAGTCGTTTGGTTTCCTTATCGTGGGAGGCGATGGGGACATGCTGTTCAGCGACCAGCTGGGGGAGTTCGGGGGGAGGGCAGGATTGGGTTCCTGAAGTGCCAAAGACGGTGCTCCGGTTAGCAGTCATGATTTCGCGGTCTCCTTCTCCTCTCCTCATCCTCCTCCTTCTTCTGCTTCTGCTTCTGAAGAATTCGTTCTGATCCTATTTCGTGATGTGCCGGGGAAAGCGTAGAATGGATGAAAAGCGAAAAGCAAATGGAACATTCCCGGAAACTCTTGTATGAACCGGACTCTTCCTTTTCTAGTTCAAAAAGAAGCGGAATATTCCTTTACTTCACACTACAATGCGGGGTTGGATTGGATTTGGGTTGGTTGGGGTGTAAGCACACAAACATCATCGCAGCAGAGAGGGGAAGAAAAAAAAAACCTTCGTGCCCAAAAATGACCAACTTAGAGTTGTATCTTTTCTTCGTCGGGCAGCCACCAACAGAAAAAATGAAATGAAACGAAAAAGTTTAAAAAAATGAAAATAAAATAATAAAAGGACTTACTAGGCCGCTTTCTTTTGCTCTCAGCCGGATTGGTCATCTTGTAGAAGTGGATTAAGACTGGTGTTTGATAGCGGGATAGGACAATCGCACACAAACGGCGGGGAAGCAATAGGAAGGAAAGGGCTGCTGGATGTGAGACAATTGAAAAGAATAACGAGGTGATCGGGGGGAATCCTCTCCTCTTATTAAAGGGTCTCGACCAAGCCAGGTGCTGGGAAGTTGAAGAGGGCGAAATAAAAATCAGTCAATAGAAGGGAGAGAAAAACAGAAAGGAATGGGAGAAAAGGGAAAAAAATAAAATAAAATAAAATGCTAGGGCAACCAACGGAGGAAGACACCCTTCACGGAAAAACCCAGGTTTTTTTTATAGTTTTGATGTAACCCAGTGGCAGTGAGAAACCCTGAAACTTTCTTACCAAAGGGCACACACCTGAACCCCTGCCAGAGGAATATTGTTGGCAAAAATGCGGTGTATAACTATATGAATTATTCCATCTGTTTTGGATAGTTACTCAGTTCATAAATTCCAGAGTGAATGAGTGTGCATCCACACAAATATGCTTCTTCTCGATATCTAAACAGTCCATTATTTCAGAACTGTAAGAAACCTCCTTTTTCAATCATTCACTCAATAGGAATGAATAGATGTCTATTATTGATATATTCTACCTCATTCACAGAGCAAATCAAAAGGGAGAGTGCTAAAACCATGGAAAAGCATGAAGCGTGTCTTCCCTGGCCTGATTTTTTTCAGTTTGCAGAGGGGAGTACGTTCCTGGATGGCATGGAACTGAGGACCATCCCAGAGAAATGAAAATAGAATGAGAGATCAGACCATATAGTGAGGGCAATGCAGGGCAGCACACAGATGATGGCATTGATGACAAATGACAAAAAGCTGGTCTAAAAACCAAATAAAAATAAATGAAGTGGGGGAAACTGGTTATTATATCAAGAACACTCTGTTGGTTACCAGGCCAGTTAGTTACATTCCCACCCTCCTGAACCCTACCTATACTTATTTACTAACATGCTCTTTATCTCTCTGTCCGCATATCCATCCCATTTCATACTGCTTACAAAAACAAAACCCAAGCAAGATATCACAGAATGAAAAGAGCAAGACTGAAGCCGACGCATGAGATCATGAAGTTGCTTTAAATGAAATTCAAAAAGGGGAACACAAAACGAAAGGAGAGAGGGGAGGGAATAAGAGGTTAAGAAAAATAAAACAAAAAAAAAAGAAGAGAAGAGAAAAGAAGGAACAAGAGAATGTATGGCAGGAGTTAGCAATCAGACGAGCGCGAAAAACACATGGATGCTAACCCCTTCTTTGCCTTTCCCTTCCCGCCTCCCGTTTCCTTCTGCTCCGCCTCTCGGCCCTTCCACTGCTATACACTGTCGGCGCAAGAAAGGAATGAAAGAGAAGGAAGAAAAAGTACAGTAACACTCCGATTAGCTACCTCACATATCTGCTCTTGATCCTTTTTGTTTTGTGGTTCATATCGTTTTTTTAGGAAACTGAAAAGAAGGATAGGAAAAAAGATGTACTGCTTGGAAACATATATGATATTGATGGGGTCGGTCACTCTCTCACAAATTCTTTTTTTTTTGGTCTTTTTTATGTTTCTTGTTGTTCCAGTTTTCTCTTTTTCATTAACATTTACCATTTCTCTCTTCTCTTGTCCCTGGTTGAATGGCTGATTGTGCCGGCTGACAAATGGGTCGATTAATCCATATTCCTCCGGCCCGACCAACTCTGCCAGACCAACACAGAGCAAAGCAAGAAAAGAAGGGAAACATGATCTATTCCATGGCAGCAAGCAAGGAAGGCATGTCTTTTCGAAGGTTCAAGGTGGGGTGGGATATGTAGTGGGTGAAAGAAGGGGCGTTGAAAACCATAATTTAAAAAAATGGGTGGTTGGGGTAAATATGGGGCAGCATGTGAACGTGTTGGCCGTTGCATTTAATTCATTAATCAAATCGCGTATTTTCGAGTCCATTCGCGGGCTGTCGCTTCATACCGCGGACGATCGGTCTTGTAAACATGAGCAATTTCAGGGACCAAAGGATCATCCGGGTTCGGGTCTGTGAGCATGGAACAGATCGAAAGTAGGACTTGAGAAAACCAGGCATGTTAGCCAAATAGCCACGAACAGAACTAATATAGGGAAACAGGGGTGGATAAGACAAACCTTTTGATATAGTCAGGGCAGGGCTCCATTGGTCTCTGAGGATGTCCAGGCAAATGCTCCCGTTTGAGTTGATGTTTGGATGGTAGATGAGCGTAGTAAAGTTGACCTTGGGTGGCTTGAATGGATAATCGGTGGGGAAATGTATGGTTAGGAAGAAGACACCACCGGAATAAGGGCTGTCACCCTATTATCGTCCAGAAAAAAAAATGAAATGTTAGTCACCGTCTCTCTCCTGTCTACATTCGGCCATGTCTCAACTGCAAAAGCCTGATATCTTCCATCAAATGTGGATTTTTTGCTCTTGCAATTGCAAATAAGGAGGGGAAAGAGACAGGATATCAAGTATCTTTTTAAAAAAAAAAAAAAAAATTTATGACTTACAGGACCCATGATAGTCGCTTGCCAGTGAAACTATTATGGTATAACAGGTCAGTCCACGCTCTCTTTTCAGCCACGACAACCAGACACTATACACCACCCAAGTAGAGATGTGTTCTCTCCAGTGCGAGTCTTGTATAACTCCACCATACTGAAACAGATCGAGCATGGCAACGTAACACAGGGGCTATAGAACCAAACCTACCAAATCATCTCCAACGGGGCCAGCAGAACAAGACGAAGGGGGATCGCTATATCGACATCATTTAGTAATCATTGTCCTCAGCTGAACCGCAGGATGCTTTTGCAGGGGCGGAGAGGGAGCGAAATCAAGAGGCAGCGCGCCCCGCAGGCGTGGTTGGTGACGGCGGTGGGGGTGGAACACCAAAAATGGCCAACGAGAAGAAGGCTACTCACCGTCCCAGGTCTGAGAGTTCCTTATTAATTCTCTTGAGAGCCATTTCGAGAGAAGAGAAATGTGAGGTAGAAAGTAAGGAGAGAAAGAAAGAGAAAGATTTGAAAGAAAACGAGCTCAATAGACGAGTGGTGGTGTCGTGTGCTGCGAATCGAGTGTTTCGAGAGGGGAGTGTTCTGTCTGAGCGACGAGTTAGTGGTGAGCTGGTTGGGGGACATCCAGGACACAGAGTCCAGACTGAGAATAGATGGACGGACAATAGAGCCAACCTACGCAATATGTTCTGCAAGCAACGGTGATGGAATGAGGGAGTGTCTATGAAGATGTGGAGGGTGGTGGTGGTGAGACCTGGTGGAGGGGAAAAGTCACAGGTTGACGAGAAAACAGACAACAACCTTTGGAATGGAAGAAGCCGCCGCCGCCGCCGCCGCCGCCGCCGTGGCTGTACCAGCGATAAGGGCGGGGGAGAAATGTTATTCCGGAACACGGCCAATCACTGTGCCCTGTTTGCCATCTGAGGTAATGGAACCTGACATAAGTTATTCCACTCTTTACCTTTTCTTCATCGTTCTACACAGTTCCGCCCCATGTGCTGAACATTCAATTGGCCTACGCTTTCACTTGTCAACCAAATAGGTGACTGGTTTGAAGAAATTACTCTAACTTAGCGGGAAACTAAAGACATCGTGGAAGCTGTTCTGAGAAAAATCGAGTTAGTAGCGGTGTGATGTGGGTAATGTTTCCTCCTCTTATTCGGAACTGATATTGATTATGCCTAAGAAAGTCCATGTTGATAGCCCTGGAAATTAGTGGGTAACTACTCGTTGCCCTGGTTATGAGATCAACCTTCAACAATCGTTCTCCTCAAAGTCTTGCAGAATTGTATCGATATATTCGCCTGCCCCTGAGAGGTGAAAGATATGAGCTGGGGAGAAGGGGTATCTATGGACAGGTATTCTCTGGGGCAGAGGGTGTGGTAACAGAAGTCTTAGTACAGGTTACAAAATGGACATGCTGTTTCATACCCTGAA